CCGATGCAGTGCAATGGGAATCACCCGCTGGCTCAGAAGCTCTGCACAGTGGGCCTTCCCCCGATGCAGTAGAGGTGGGCTTCTGTACAGGATTCAGACCATACCGCTAGCTGCACGCACTCATCCAAGCCTTTCCCTTTCTAGATAGCTTCCGTTATCCTGCCCGTTTTGCAACAACCGATTGGCTGCAGCCTATCGAATGCATGGTGTGTTGTGTACCAGCAGACGGCAACAGGATCTCCTGAAGAACTCACAGAAGAAGCACTCGCAGCTCCCAAAGAAGAAATTGCTACCAGCTCTGAAGAAACAGTTGAGGAGTCCTTGCCGTCTTCGTCCGGGGAATCCCCTTCGTCGGGGCAGCCATCTACGGTGGCCACGCCGCCACAGGAAAGTGAATCAGCTGAGCAGGTGCGGGTCGCTGTATCTTATCTTAGCGCAAAATACGTTTATGCTAGACGCCACCGGTCGTTGCTTTATTATGACTGCAGCAGCAGTTTCTGCAGTTCACCCAGCTNGTTTATGCTAGACGCCACCGGTCGTTGCTTTATTATGACTGCAGCAGCAGTTTCTGCAGTTCACCCAGCTGGTAAGGTACTGAAGTGCAATATGCAGGACGGAAGTGTAGCTGTTGCGGTGTGCTTTCCTCAGTCGGAATCTTTGGAACAGCTGCATGAAGATCCAGCCATTTTTGTCGAGCACCCGTGGCTCGACGCTGTGTATCCAGGGGTTCCTGCAAGCGTCCTGAGGACGCATCCGTTTTACCATTACCCCAAAAGTCAACCGTCACTCAGCACAAGACCGTTTAATTCGCAGCTAGCAGCGTTTTTTGCCTCAATCCAAAAGTTTCCAGGCACAGCGCTTGCTAGGTGTAGGGATGTACTGAAGAAGTCGTCGCTAACCCCGCAGGATTTGGAAGATCTTGTAACCAACGCAGAACGCCTCTGTGGATATGCAAGCGCGAGGATACCGTTGGCCTACAGGCGTGGGCAAGCGAAGTATGCCAAAGACACGCTGGGATTGGTTTTTGTTCTTCTCGACACTCTGCACTGTGCAGCAGAAACTCTGGGGGGCCAGTCAATGAAGCAGTCTTGGTGGCCTTCGATAATGCGTTACATAGAAGGTTTAAATTACAGTCCCAAGAAGCAATCCCTGTATACTGCCAAGTGCAGAAGAAACGCAGAAGTCTCACGCACGCTTGACGCCGCCCTGGATTACTACAGGAGAGGCGTCCGGGCTCCGCTCCGTATGGTAATCGGTTTGATGGAAGCNACGCCGCCCTGGATTACTACAGGAGAGGCGTCCGGGCTCCGCTCCGTATGGTAATCGGTTTGATGGAAGCGCTGCTCTGTGAAGCTGGTGTTTCGTCGAAGTTCAGTGGAGAGCAGTGGGATCCGTGGAGATTAGACATCGAACGGTGGCGCCAATCGATAGAGCGGAGCAAGGCAAAAATGAAGCTTGATTAGCTGAAAGTGGCGAAGTAGTGGTTGAGCATCGTGGCAAGCACAGCATTCTCAGTGCTCATACCGTGGACAACATAATTGAGTTATGTCAGGCACATGATTTCGAATATTTGGAATGCTCAAGCGGCTCATGATGTTAAACTAAAGCGTTGAGTGGCAGCAGGTCCGTGCGTGGGTATTGCTGCCTGCATACGCCTTCGCCGCCTGCTTCCAGTGCGACACGTGCCGTCGCCATCTAGTTGTAACTGCTTACATTTCTAAAATGAGAAGGCACTGGCGCTAAAGGAACTTCTCATTTTAGAAAAGGAACGAACGGTGTATGTCAACGGCAGCTGTACCATGGTCTGTCTGAAGTTTGTATTTGATGCGTTTGTACGCGTGCGGTTGGATACTGAAGGACAAAAGAGTATCTAACTGTTCTCTCCAGTGTTTAAACATGCATCAAAACGTGGGCTGAGTCCTACGATTCCATGTGGTGTCGCCGTGCAGCAGGAGTTGCAACAACATGTGCAGCAACCCCTGACGGGCCGCCGACAATCTGCACCAGCACCAGGCCTTTTGTGCCTCTGTGCCGAAGAAACCTAGAGACAGGAGGGGAGGCCACCTGCTTTTCAGCAACATTTGCCGTTATCACTTTGTTTTCATTGAAGTTGATGAAATTTCCCCGATACGGCGGATGACACCGTAGCACTGAGTGTAGCGGGGTTCCTCGGTTTTAGGTGAGGGCAGTCAGGGACTGCACATGAGTGTTCAAAGAAGGCGCTTGTATTCGTTGGGCGTTCATGCATCCTGGAAGCAGCGGCACAAATGTGTTAGTGCGCGCGGCGATGATTATGCCCCTCATGGGTTGCAACTCACCTCGCTGCAACTCGTGCTGCAAGGGAACCCCACATGCAAGCGCAAGCAACCCCCCTTTGCTGAGTGCACAAACACAGTGCGCAATTGTTGAACGCTTAGTTGGCCAGTCGCAGCCACCTGCCTGCAAGTAGTAGCACATGTACCAACCTCGAACGCATCATGCTTTAGTGCAAATCTCGCTGGGAGGCATTCCCGCGTGCAGGCGCAGCCAAGCACCCGGTTTATGAACGCTTTAACACCATAGAAAACTTCCCAACGCTCCCTTGGCCCTCATCAGCTAACTTGCACGTCCCTAGACAAGCAGGAACCAAACGTGGCCAGCCCGTTGAACGAACATCCTTCAGAAATGCCCGGGGCGGTTTTTTCTCTTAGTTTTTGTTAATGTTTTCAAGGTTAAAAACACGTTGCAAATTGATTCCTCATTCAGCGAATTGATGGAGTTTTTGCGAATGGTCCCAACGCGCGGCTGGCAAGTCAAACGCTTAGCAGCGGTTCGCAGGAGAAGCCAGTCGACCCTCGTACCACTTATCAACGTGACTTAGCCGATTCTACGGCTAAAGGCACTAGTAAACTGAGTGAGTGTTAAGTACATATATAGTATTTTCGCAGTTGATTACGTCTTCACCTTTTCCTCTTCAATGCTTCCATGCCTGCGGTCTCGATGGACTGAACCAGTGCACAGACGGGAGTCCACTGGAGCGCTCGGCGCGTTCGCGCAATCCCTCTGGCTTCAC